GAGCCGATCTGAAGCCAGGAGCTTCTTCAGGGTCTCCCACTTGGGTGTAGGGTCCCAAGGCTTTGGACCATTCTCGACTGTTTTCCCAGGCCACAAACAAGGAGATTCATGGGAAGTGGGGCAGCTAGGATTAGAACCAGCACCAGTATGGGATCCTGGGGTGTGCAAGGTGAGGACTTTAGCTACTAGGCTTCTGTGCTGGGCCTCCTTGAAGAATTTTTAAATGTTTTGTAAATCAACATGTTTAAGATTGTAATAACTGAATGGAGACCAGGACTCAAGCTGGTCAGTTTGTTCATTTTTGTTTCTTCTCGTAGGTACCCTGAAGGTACCAACTGCACGTAAACTCAGTTCTCTCTACTGATTAATGTTGGTTTCTCTCACATTTAGCCCTATCAAAATTAAGCAGAAGGTTTCAGGTTAAAGAACTACCTCCTACCTTCTTGCAAATTTTAAAGACCCCTTAGAATGGATAGGAATCCATAGATTTGGCTTAAAAAATTAAAATTTCACAATGCATCATCTAATTTCTTAAAGCTATTACTGTGTTATCTGGGCTGCGGGGCAGTAAATGTTCCAGCAGCTCCAGCAAAATCTCAACCCGGTTCCACTGGCATCCCGCCTTCTGCCTGCTGGTCGCGAGGTATTCCCAACGTGGATATCCAGGACCCTCTCTCGGGACTCCCAGTCCACCTGTGAGACCTGGGGGCTGCATTAGTGCTTGAATTCAGTCCCCAGTGACCACAACAGCTAGGGCTGGGTCAAGCCAAACACTAAACTCAATCCAAGACTCCCATGTGAGCAGCAGAACCCAAGCACTGAGTGGCCAGCTGTTGACTCTGTACGTTAGCAGGGAGCTGGACAGAGCCAGGACTCAAACCCTGGCACCCTGAAAGGGGGTGTTGGCGTCCCAGGCAGCATCCTCACCAGCACACCAGGCATGTCCCCCACCCTCTGCAAGGTGTTCAAGGACCACAGGGAAGACATTTCTGAATGCGCAGTCCCTGCCTTCTAGAGATGCATGGACTGGGCTACTGTCATCTCTGTGCTATCTCCATGGTCTCTGAAACCAGCTCAGTGAAGGCAAAATCTTGATCTTGTAGGAATGTGGAGGATTAACTCTCAGGGACTAACTGCTCCATCTCAAAACAGGTTACATTGCCATCTGTTGGACAACATCAAAGTTCTTCGCATGCATTCACCCAAAAACCAGAACAATTCTTATTCTGATGTGCTACACACTTCACAAACCTGGGCAAACACACGGGGTTTGTGTTGTTGCCAGATACTCAGCTCCAAGTGGAAGCTGCTCAAAGGAATGCTTCATTTACTCAGGACAAGAAAAGTGCATGGTGGAAGGGGTTTCCTAAAGAAACTGCCTGCACAGCAGCCAGCCAGGACTTCTGTGGCGAGGGGTGTGGGTGGGGGCATCCAGGATGTAGAAAAGAGAAAGTGACAGGCCCTTTCTGCTCAAGCGACACACAGTGTCCTTTAAAAATCTCTCAGTGGTCTCTGAGCTTTCCCAGTGTGTCCACACAGAGTACTGTGTTCCAAGATGAGCTTTTCTGGAACATCTTCTAAGAGATAAGCTCCATCAAGCAAGTTGTCTGCCCACATTCCCATGATCTGCCTCTTGCCCAAATTCCACACTCTTGGTTACAGAATCAGACTGCAGAGACGCTCAGTAGTCTAAACACACAGAGACTAAATCCTACAACTGCCAATTCCTAGTCTGTTTATCAGAAGCTCAAGTTCACAAGACTAATCCTATGTTTGTATCACAAAAATTTCCAGGCATTCCTCCAGTGAGCAGTGAAAAAGCTTGAATCGCAGACAGTTATTTACAGTGAACCAGAGTTCCCAAAGACTTCGGCGTCATCTTTCTCAAACTGTAGAGAATGGCCTTTGACGTACAGAATCCATGGGGCCAGCATTTGGGGCAGTGGTCATCGTGTCACTCAGGAGGCCTGTGTTTCTTATAGTCCCCAGGGTGTGCAGTAACAGAAGGCTGGAACTGGACACAGAGCTGGGACTCAACTCTGGGTACACCAGTATGGAATATGGGCATGATACCTTGAGGCATCCAAATGTCTAAGCCAAACATCCCCCACCATAAGTAACATTTGAAAATCCAGTGTGCAAAGAAAGATGGGAACTTGTGACTAGAAAGATTTGCAGTGTTTGGAAGGTAGCATCCCAACATTTTCCATGCCCGAACATGTGTATCACCAAAGGGGTGGGTAAGTAAGTGACATGAAAAGCCGCCTGTGTGTGTTCAGGTATTGGGGTGTACTTTCTCATATACACATGGGATTGCATACACAAGAGTGAGCAAACAGCACATCTTGGGAATGTTGGTTTTCAAAAGCAGGTGTTTTTGAAGAAAGAAATATGAAAGCTAAATCTAAAGTAGTATTGCCCTTGTAAAAAGTGACCAAATGCCACAGAAACGGATGTGTTGGAGTCACATTGCCAGTACACGTGCTCGTGATTTTTGTTATGAACGATTGTAACTAATGTGATTTTCAACCATCTTATCGCTCCTTGTCCCATTACCTAGAGGAGTGGAAGTGCCAAGGAGAAGGTACAATCTTACATTTCACTTTGTGTTGTTGACCATTATGATAGAAACTTCCCAAGTGCCCTGTTCTGAGGTTTAATTAATTAATTAATTTGAGGGGCTGATGTTGTGGTGCAGCAAGTTAAGCTCTATCCGTGTTGCCAGCAGCTCACACAGGCACCTGTTTAAGTCCTGGCTGCTCTACTTCTGATCAAGCGGCTCATGTGCTTGCAAGAGCAGTGGAAGCTGGCCTAAGTACTTAGCACCCTGCCACCATGTGAGATACCTAGATGGGGTTTCAGGCGCTGGATTCACCTGGCCCGTTCCTGGGCATTGTGACTGTCTGAAGAATAAACCAACTGATAAATGACATTTCTCTGACTCTGCTTTTCCGTGTAACTCAGCTTTCAAATAAAGAAAAAAATCTTAAAATAGGGCCCGGCGCAGTGGCGCAAGTGGTTAAAGGTCCTCGCCTTGCACGCCCAGGATCCCATATGGGCGCCGGTTCTAATCCCGGCAGCCCCGCTTCCCTTCCAGCTCCCTGCCTGTGGCCTGGGAAAGCAGTCGAGGACGGCCCAAAGCTTTGGGAACCTGCACCCGCGTGGGAGACCCGGAAGAGGCTCCTGGCTTCGGATCGGCATAGTATCGGCCGTTGCGCTCACTTGGGGAGTGAATCATCGGACAGAAGATCTTCCTCTCTGTCTCTCCTCTCTGTATATCCGCCTTTCCAATGAAAAAATAATAAAAATAAATCTTTAAAAAAATCTTAAAATAATAATAATAACTTATTTGAAAATCATAGAGATGGAGGACAGGAATCTTCCACCTACTGATTCATTCCCCCCAAATACCTGCAATAGCCAGGGCTGGGCCAAGCTGAACCCAGGAGCCAGAAACTCAACTCAGATTTCCCAAAGGGAAGACAAGGAACCAAGCACGTAAGCCTCCCACGTTAACAGAGGATAGAATCAGGAACAGAGCCAGGGCCTGAACCCAGGCCTTTCAGCAAGGGATGCAGGCATCCCATTGTCTCAACCACCGCCCCAAGTGCTCACCATATTTTCCATGCTTTATTCCATTGTTTGTGGCTTTTTGGTGCAACACTCCTTGATAATGACTAAAATATTGCCATCTTTCCCTATTTCTGCAGGTCATTCTCAGATCTCCTGGTTATTGCTGGACTTGTGGTTGCAGAGGGGTAAGTCTAAATGAAAGATTGTCAATACTCTTTAGTTGTTACAATAGTATCCTAGCTGCCCAACAACCCTGGCTTCCCAAATCAGTAAGGATATTGTGTTAAATGTGAAAACATGAACTGATGCATTGTGGGAGTCTATGGGAAATGTTCATGACCCGTTCCTACCTAAGAGCACACATGTATTCTTTTAAAAACTGAAGTCACCTCACACAACTAAATGGTACAGTGGAGGCAGTGATCTCAACAAACACAGTTGTTTAAGTGTTATATATCGGATCCTTGATTTTTTCAAGTGGCCAACAAATACAAGCTTAGAATTTCTGCTTTCTCTTTTCAAAAACCATAATATGTTATCTCACATCTTTGGATCTTTCTTTTTTTTTTTTTTACAATTTTTATTGGAAAGGCAGTTATTCAGAAAGGAGGAGAGACAGAGAGGAAGATCCTCCTGTTTGATGTTTCACTCCCCAAGCGGCTGCAATGGCTGAAGCTGAGTCAATCCAATGCCAGGAGCTTAGAGTCTCTTCAGGGTCTCCCACATGGGTGCAGGGTCCCAAGGCTTTGGGCCGTCCTCCACTGCTTTCTCTGACCACAAGCAGGGATCTGGATGGGAAATGGGGCTGCCGGGATTAGAACTGGTGCCCACATGGGATCTCAGCATGTACAAGGTGAGGACCTTAGCCACTAGGCTACTGCACCAGGTCCACAATTCTCATTCTTCTCACAGGTGTTTCCTAAATTGCCAAGCAAGGTTCTCCTTCTGTCATAAAGAATATGTATTGTATCATGAAGGAAACAATAGTCTTACCCACTTTCCTGTAGCTCTTGAACCTTTTACCTTAATTAACTATGTAAAGATTGTCAAAAATATAATTAAAAAATGGGGGAAAAAAGAATATGTATTGTAGACACTAACCTCCGAGTCGTAACCCCAGACACAAAATTCTTTTCATGGAGTGGATCTACATTTCTAATTGCTTTGATGTGTCCATATGCATTTTACAAATTCACCATACATTACCTTGCTTTCAGAATCTGTTTCGTATCCTTTGCATTACATGTTTGTTTCAATTGCATAACTTCCCTCACCTGCTGAAGCCGGAACTCTGGAAACCAATTTGATCCTTTTCTTCCTCCTTCTGTTCCAGCTTTTCAACCATATAAGGCCCATTAATTCAGCAGAACCCTTTGATCTGAGTTGTGAATTTAACAGGTGCTTGTTAAAGAAAGACCTCAAACATGCTCATTCTAGCACTTTATTGGAAATTGGTTGTGCACACCAATGAAATCAAAGTAATAGTATAATTTTCACACAACAGTATCCTCATATTTGTGCTATCTTCTTACATAATTTAATAAATGAATACCAAGATGCTCCTGATTCTTGATATCAGAGAGCCTAGGTGGTCCAGGAATAACTCTGTATAAATATAAATCAGCATCTAAAAGAACAATATTGTCTTGAGCTTGTTCCAGAAGTCCTGGGAGCATCTCTTAAAGAAAGGTACCTGGGCTTGGCTGTGGTGCTAGTGGAGGTAGGGAAGGGCTACACATAGAACTAAACAACGCAGGAGCTGGTGCGGAGGGCCAGAGCCCCTCGAGGGTGGGACGTATGAAAGGACAGGGGCTGCACATCCTGAATGCTGGACAGGGCACTTGGCCACTCTGCATCCTCCAATATCACTTGAATGTCAAAATTAACACACACACACACACACACACGAAAATCTAGCTCCAACCCCCATGACATTGCCCCCCGCAAAATGGCAAAACTCTCCCCCAGAATGCCGAGGAATAGAGATTCTGACAGAGAGAAGGTTGTAGAAAGCTCTATGCATCTCTCTCCCCATGTCATTCTCAGTTCCCTGTCAAAGGAGAAGACTTGAGGAATGACAGCTCAAGGAAAATAACTGTGACCCAGTGTTCTGCACATCTCCTGGAAGGACAGGGTGTTTCTTGCTTGTTTGTCCTTGGGGGCACTGGGCAGGTCCACTCTACCCTCACTGTCTCCCTTGCCACCTTGAGCCATCACTAGCAGTCAGATTTTTTGGTTCTTCCAAGCTTCTCTACAAACAGCGTAAGGCTGGCATCCTGCAGTGGTTTTGTTGTTCATCAAGTTTTCACCTCCACCAAGTCCACTGGTTCTTACAACCCTGTGAGGTAGGAAGCACAGGGACCATGATCCCCACTTGAAAGACAAGGAACCTGGAACGGAGTGAGGTTCCTCTTCCAAGTTCACACAGCTAGCCAGGGGCAAAACCAACAGTGGAACTCAAGTCCAAGTTCTGAAGTCCTTCCTTCTGCCTTTCAGAGAACAAGGGGAGGCTTTGGGAAGGGAGGCTGGTCCCCAGCCCGACCTGGCCCTCTTGGGGGTAGGTCTCAGACAGCTCCATTAAGAATAGGGTGAGTCCGCATGCGATAGATGATGACCACGGTGGCGGGGCACAGCAACAAGGAGGTCATGATGACAATGGTGGCCAGGATGATGAGGACAATGACCCAGATGTCCAGGATGTGCTTGGGGAGCACGACTTCCACAGGCACTTGGCTGACAGCATCCATGCTGCTTCACTCTGCAAGAGACAGGAAAAGCAAATCACCGCTGTGTACCTTCTCTCCACACCCGCGAGTGGGAGGGAAAGCTCCCGGAGTTAGAGGCAGGGCATTTACCACTTACCAGATACCTGATCTTTAAAGTGCGTGGATCAGTTATTGCAACCGCTTCATTCACTGACAGCCTCCTATCGTCAGGCCTGTGCTATGCACTTTGAGTCTAATTTTTTAATGATTTATTTATTTATTTATTTGGAAGCATCAGAGAGAGATGGAGAGAGATTCCCATCTGCTGAGTCACTACTCAAATGGCTGCAAAGTCCAGGGCTGTGGCAAACCAAAGCCAGGAGCCAGAGCTACTTCCAGGTCTCCCACATGGGTGCAGAAGCCCAAGCACTTGGGCCAAATGCGCTACTTTCCCAGGTGCGCTGACAGGGAGTTGGATCTAAAGTGGGGCAGCCAGGTCTCAAATCAGCACCCATATGGGTTATATGCATTGCAGGCAGTGGCTTTATCCACTATGCCTCAGTACTGGTCCCACTTTACATCTGTTAACTCATTCAACCCTCACCTTAACCATGAAACTTATGAGGCTAGGACTATAATTACTGCCTGTTTTTTATTTTGTGGCCTTTATCTTCCATTATACCCATTCTATAGATGAGGACTCTAAGAGCTTTAGAAATGCTGATGCCACTAACTTGACCAAGAATGACCAAGGATAAACTCAGATAGCCAAGGACACAGAGCCTCCATGCTTAGCTATTAAACTACTGTCCTACCAGCCTCACCTGAAAAAGTTGGAAGTTCACTTTTTTAGTGTTCTTTCCTGGCAAGAGAACCCCTCCCCCACCTTTCTGAGGTAACGTACTTGGTCCATGTGGCTTACTTAAGGCACTCATGGGTGGTGATATGCCTGGGCTTGGCCCTTACTAATTTCTGGGAAGGCAAAATTTTCCAAAAGGATTAAAAATTTTTTTTTCATTGGAAAGGCAGATTCACAGAAAGAAGAATCTTCCATCTGCTGGCTCACTACCCAAATGGCCACAATGGCGAAAGCTGAGCTGATCCAAAGCCAGGAGCCAGCAGTCTCTTTAGAGTCTCCCATGAGGGTGCAGGGTCCCAAGGACTTGGGCCCTCTTCTGCTGCTTTCCCATGGCATAAACAGGAAGCTAGAAGACAAGTGGAGCAGTTGGGACACAAACCCGCACCTATAGGATCCTGGCGCTTGCAGGAGGAGGATTAGCCAATTGAGCCATCACACTGGGCCCTTCCCCAGGATTTTAGGCTCAAGGTTATGGGGAAGATGATTCTTTCTGCTGAGATGGCCAAACCGACCAAACTTAACTCTGGAAAGAAAGGAGCTGAGGCGATCCTGCCTGCTGTGGAGAAACTGCCCAAGAGATAGGAAAACAGACGGAGCTCTGATGATTTAATTTGGAAACTTGATCCCAGCCAAGGCTAATGCCATCTACAAACCAGAACATCCCCAAAAGACAAGCCAATAATTCCCTGGTTTTGCTTAACACAGTGCCCACTTGGTGTCTCTCCCTGGCATCTGAAAGAACTCAAGTGAATCAAGATGTAATTCAGTTGCCCCCAAACATTTTTCAGTTCACAGCGTCCTTAGGTTTTAGCCCCCGCCCCCAGGCCAAAAGAGATCCCTAAGAATTCTGGTTATTGGGCAGATGGATTCAAACAATTTTTAAGTATGTTCTAATAGCTTAGCAGTTATTTGAGAACTAAGCACTTGGTAGTTGTTTGAATAACACACAAAACTGAAAGAAACTATTTTATTCCATTTCTAGCCAGTTACTTACTAATATGACACATACATTTGTTAGGTACTTGTTCAAACTTTGGGATTGCCATCACCACTTTTTATCCCACATTAATGTTTGTACTGCACTTGCTATACCACAACAGTCACCAAAAACGCAGCTTCATAAGACATAACATCATCAAAAATAGTGGTATTAAAATTCAACTGTAAAATTCAACTCTAGCCTAATGGCTAAAGTTCTTGCCTTGCACCAGGGTCCCATATGGGCACCAGTTCTAATCTTGGCAGCCCTGTTTCCCATCCAGATCCCTGTTTGTGGCCTGGGAAAGCAGTGGAGGACAGCCCAAAGCCTTGGGACCCTGCACCCATGTGGGAGACCCGGAAGAGGATCTAGGCTCCTGGCATTGCATTGACGCAGTTCCAGCCATTGCAACTACTTGGTGAGTGAATCATCGAACAGGAGGATTTTCCTCTCTGTCTCTCCTCCTTTCTGTATATCTGACTTCCCAATAAAAAAATAAATCTTAAAAAATTGTTTTTAAAAAATTCAACTGTAAGCCACCTTGAGCTGGGAGTTTACATAGTATCTGAGAGTCTTCCAGGACCACTGTTTCTTTCTGATATCACTATTGAGAGCATCCTCTTCCCTCATGTGAGTTACTGTGGCTCCCCAAGGCTTCCCAGAGCACAGACGTGGCACATTGCCAGCCCAGCCCAGAAGGCACAGGCTGGCACAGACATCCTCCTGGGTGTTCTTCCAAACCTGAGATCTGGCATTCGGTCATTCTAGGTCCCAGGCAAAATTCCCAATTCTGGTTCTGTTTGCTTCTCTTAACTAAGCACTAGCTTTCCTTTTTAATGCCTCTGATGTCATGGCCACTGTTACCACCTTAAACAAGGTATTGATCACCACAACCAATGCACAGTCTCCCACATACACCTTCAAGCATGTTTCTGCATATGTGTTAGAGCACCTGACCCCCAAAAGAGTCAGTAAGTAGTAAGATATAGTAAGGTGGATCCATATAATGTAATACAATGCCATGATTTTATCTATTCATTCATTTGCTCATTCATTCAACTAACAAATATATAGTGCTTATTACACATTAAGAATTGCTCCAGTGCTCGCTTCGGCAGCACATATACTAAAAAAAGAATTGCTCCAGATTTACTACAAATAATAACTTATTTAAATAAAGCACTATGGAGAACAGTAAGGAAGTTTCTCCCAAAATTAAAAATATAGTTACTTTATGATTCAATAATCCCACTTCTGAGTATATAGCCAGAGGATTTAAGATCAGTATATCCAAAAGATAGATGCACCCCCATGTTTATTTCAGCATCATTCACAGTAGCCAAGTTAGAGAATCAACAATGAATGGATAAAGGAAATGTGATATATATACATATATATAATAAAGAAAATGTGAAATATGGATAAAGGAAACATGAGATGCATACATTCTGTGGTCAGCCTTTCAAAAGAGGGAACTCTGCCAGTTATGACAGCACAGATGACCTACAGAGCATTATGCTAAGTGAAATAAGTCAGGCACAGAAACACAAATACTAAATGGTCTCACTCATGTGTGGCAGCTATGGAAATCAACCAGAATGACGGAGTACAGGATGGCTGTGACGAGAGCACAGAGGGCAGAGGGATGGGCCAAATGGGCAAATGTTTCTGTAAGGGGTAATAAGGACTGGAGGTGAAAAGTGCAATTTATTTAACAGCTATTAAAAAGACTGATCTGCAGTGAGGTCCAAAATATTTAAATAAAGTGCAGGAATAGTGTGTACAGGATCATTGCTTCCATTCAGATTTTGTAGAATTTAATAGATAGGTAAGGATGCATGGGGACTTCAAAAAGTTAGTGGAGCCATTTCCAGATGGCTCAGTCCTGGACTCTGCTGAGTGGTGCTGGGAGTAGCAGCAGGGCCTATTGGAGGTGGGCTGCCACTGGGGAGGGGACATGCCAGTGGGCAGGAAACTGAGGAGAGGGGCTTCCATGGGAATGGACCAGAGTTTCGGAAAAGACTGGTATATCCCACAGTCGGCTCTCACCACCCCAGACCCCGAGCCTGTGCCACACATCACACACACACTGCAGACTGTCACTCACGGTGAGTTCCCCAGTTTCTAAGAGCATTTAATGCAGACCGAATGAGTAAGATAGCTCTAGTTCTAAGATTTATTCATTTTTATTGAATAGGTTTTATATCAGGTTTTACAGAGAAAAGGAGAGACACAAAAATTCTGCATCCATTGGTTCACTCCCCAAATGGCTGCAATAGCCAGAGGTGAGCTGATCTTAAGCCAGAAGCTTCTTCCAGATCTCCCCATGTGTGTGCAGGGTCCCCAAGGCTTTGGGTCATCCTCGACTGCTTTCCAGGCCACAGCATGGAGCTGGATGCAAGACATGACAGAGTGAAAGATCTTCCAGCTGTTAGTTCACTCCCCAAGTAAAAGCAACAGCCAGAGCTGAACTGATCTGAAGCCAGGAGCCTCTTCCATGTTTCCCATGCAGGTTCAATGTCCCAAGGCTTTGGGCTGTCTTTGACTGCTCTTCTAGGCCACAAGCAGGGAGCTGGATGGGAAGTGGAGCTGCTGGGATTAGAACCGGCACCCATATGGGATCCTGTTGTGTTCAAGGTGAGGACTTTAGCCGCTAGGCCAGGGTGCTAGGCCCTGTTCTTTGAATTTTGGTTAAAAATCTGGGTTAAAAGGAATCTGTGGTACCTATATGGGATCCTAGCACGTGCAAAGCAAGGACTTTAGCCACTAGGCTATCGCACCAGCCCAAAATCAAATAAAACTAATTCTCATCAATCTCTAGATCTGTGGTCATAGTAAGACTCACTTTAGACAGTACGAATAACACTGGTTTTCTGGCTCCTCCCAGACTTTATGAATTGGATGAGAGGGGGTCTTTTGTCCCAACTGCCATGGTGACTCGAGTATATAGTTGGCTTTGGGAAATCCCTGGATGTAACAATCTCTAAGATGTACAAAACCCTTCCTAAAACCGAGGTTTGGGGATTGTTTCCTGGGTACTCAGTTGCTAGGCTAGTCAGATCCACCAGGCCCCAGGTGACAGAGAAGCCTCACCCGGGGTCCCCAGGACCACAGGTCTATCAGGCTGTGCCTGCCAGGGAGGGAGAGGCACAGGCTGGCCACGACTCTGCTGTGGAAATGGAGTCACTTTCTCCAAGGTCTGAGACATGGCAAGC